AGACAACATTCAAGACATTGTCGCTAATCTTGTCATCATGTACAGTGATAGACAATCGTTTGTACGCAACATGTTTTCTTTGATTTTTAAAGCCATTTTTGGGTTTATTGTAAAACTTTTTTCAAAAACTGGATTCATGTATGAACACATAAATTTAAACATTTATGATAAATTGACACGAGTGTACTTTTCAAACTTTTTGTTGTATGCTCACTTTTGCAAAATGAGTACCTAAGAATTGTTTTCATTTTAGCATTCTTAAATGTAAACATTTATTTTTTTTATTTAGGTACATATTCGCGTATATGAATTGTGAGAAGTAACAAATGTAAACTGTATAAATTTGAGAGGACCCTCTCATCACTCTCATTAAAGTACATACTCATTAATGTTGTTATTTTTTTTAATAATATATGTTCGAACTTTTTGTAGTTTGTTTCTTATATTCATATGTGCGTTGTTTGTGTTATTTGCTACTTTGCAAAAATGAAAAAAAAAAACAAAAATGTTTTCTCATTCTTTTGCATTCACCCTGCCAGCAAATTTGAGTTTAATTTTGGATAAATGAACTAAATTTACACTATTTAGGCTCAACTTCATAAATAAAAATATTTACAAAAACAAAATACATTATTTTCTAATTTTTATCCCATTTTTGTAAAATTTAAGTTCGATCTAATATACCAAAAAGAAACGTAAATGATAATAATTAGATAGAATAAAAATGTATAAAAGAACATTTTTTAATACACTAACAAGATAATTTAAGGCAGAATTATTTTTGCTCTCAAAATTTAAAAGAAAAAGTGTTTACATATTTCAGTAAATATATTTAGTTTATGGTGATCAGTTGTGTGAATAGTAACACATTGTGAAATTTTGTAATGATTTTATTTAAAATTAAATATATAAAAAATAAATGTAATATATAATAAACATAAGTGAGAGATTAGTGAGTATAAACAATTTTAAATTATTCATAAGGTAAGATAAATAAAGAAAATGTATTTATTATAAAGTCGCTTTTACTACATAGAATAGTGTAAAATTAGATAAATTTCCAGTTTCCCTATTGCTATAGCAAAACTGGAAATTTTACTAATTTTACGCACTTTTATGCTATAAAAAAGTGACTTAAAACTGAAACGAAATCGACTCACAAATTGTGCAATATTAGATGTTTTTAGATATTTTTACCTACAAGTTGTTACGTTATGGATACTATTTAGATAGCAATTGTTTGCAGGGCAATAGGTATATATGTATGTAGTAGAAAAATATTTTGTTTTTTTAGTTGTTAGGCACAAATTTTGCCTGTGTTTTGTCATAACCCATTGAGAACCAGGATCAAATTTTATGTTTTTTTATTTCGACTTTGTTTACAAAAGTACCATTATTTCATAAATATATCGATATAAGGGTACCTCATCTCACATGAAATTTTGTAGACAATATTTGGGGCTTTCCCAAATATTGTCTACCCAATTTATGGATGAAAAACTAATTTTCTGAAAGAGGCTTTATATGGGGGCTAGGGGCAAATATGGACCAAGCCCGATAAAATTTTGTGAATATATTTATATTTACATAATATTTTATTGTGCTGAATTTCGTCGCGATATTTGTGTTTATAAGTTAATTTGGGACATTCAAGTAATTTTCTGAAGGGGACTTTGTATGGGAGCTAGGGTCAAATGGGGCCCGATCTTTATGAAATTTTGGCAGGGTTATCAAGACTTCTATAAAACTTATGCCGTATTTTATCGATATATCTGTATATTTAACATAATTATGAGCTCAGAAGCCCTTTTCGGGGGGTTCTGTTCTATGGGGGCTAGGTGAAATAATGGACCGATTTTAACCATTTTCAATAGGCTTCGTCCTTGGGTCAAATAAAATATGCGTGCCAAATTTCATCCAATTATCTTGAAAATTGCGACCTGTAGCTTGCGCACAAGGTTTACATGGACAGCCAGCCAGCCAGCCAGCCAGCCAGACGGACGGACATAGCTTAATCGACTCAGAAAACGATTCTAAGCCGATTGGTATACTTTAAGGTGGGTCTAGGACGAATATTTTTATATGTTACAAACATCAGCACAAATCCAATATACCCTCCCCACTAAAGTGGTGTAGGGTATAAAAACATAAAATGTGACCATGGCTCTCAATGGGTCAATGGTATCGACCATATCGGTTAATCAGTAATCGAGATATATTCAATTATATATCAAAACTTTGGAGGCCCATAACTCCCGGACCCTAATAGAACGGATAATTTTTTGTCCTATGTTGAAGTCACAAGGAAAAGTACTATTATGTGGTATAAAAAAATTTTTAAAATCAGCTGGATTAGAACGCTAGATTTATGCCCATTCCTATTTCGGTGCGGATCAAAATTTTTTTGTTTGCACAACAACAAAACATTCTTGTTTACCCTACTCTAATTTATTTGGAAGTATCCTTCTGTGTATGCTTTTCACATAAAATTAAATAAACAAACATATTTTTTGCAAGAAAAAAGAAAAATAAGCACAACTTACATTGAAAAAAAAAAAACAAAATAACAAGTAGGACCGAGCAAAAAAAAAAAACAAAAATAAACGCATCATAAAAAAGCACAAAATTGTTGTTTTACCAGTCTTTGCACATATTCTTATTTCATTCTTAGATGCAAAAACACGAACACTCTCAATCTCGACATTTTACATTTATTTATCAACAGAACTATAAACAAATTTTACATTTCATTTTAGATTGCTAGTGCAAAATAAAACTTTATGCTCTTTCAGTTGTGAGATTTTTACAAGCAGTCTATTTCTCAAAAATGTCCATGTGCATGAAAAAAAAGTTTTTCTTGTTATCTCAATATTCTACGAAAATAAAAAACATTACTAATAGTATCATGCAAGAATAAATAAAGCAAAGTTTTATTTTTGTTTCTTTTTGTACACGAATGGAAGATAACAAAACAAAATTTATTTGTTTTTTTCATGAGCGTGAGTGATAAGTGAATGATATTGGGAACCCTGCATAGTTATGAAATAATAGAAAAATATTATAAAATATGGGACTCGAACTCGAGCCTGAAGAATATTCAATTAATAATATTAATATCACAGTTCGAAGAAATCGATAATCTTAATATATAAACACACTGGGCACAGTGGATATATGTACATGTTTAATGCACTGCTGTTGATTCACGACTGAATAGGATCAACAGAAATAAACAAAACATACAAAAACAAAAAGTGTTGCTTAATTGCTAACTGACAGTTGGCTAAAGCAGCGACAAAGAGTAATGATAGATAAGAATACAACACTGAAAAAAGCTCATAAACTTCGATCTAACTCAATAAAGTAGAATGAAATTGGAATAAGGACTTTGTTACAATTCCCATACTCCATTTCTTCAAAACTTGTGAGTTAAATAGATGATGTTTACAAGTGACATAGCATATGGCACAAGAAGATTGCTGATGAGGAGCCGTAGCGGGCCCGAAAATGCATTCCATTCTGCTGTTGTGTCCAAATAATTAATTTTCAGTATTCTTATAATTAAAAATATCATTACAATTTGGAAAATAACTTATCCCCTAGTGGGACTCGAACTCGAGCCTGAAGAATATTCAATTAATAATATTAATATCACAGTTCGAAGAAATCGATAATCTTAATATAATATCACAGTTCGAAGAAATCGATAATCTTAATATAAAATATTTTCTCTAATAAGAATATCAGACAAAAAATTAATTTTCCTTGACACATTCGTTTGTACGCAGTCATGTAATTATGAACCTTCGTTCAAGACTAAATTATCAACAGTAACATGTAAGTTGTCGCGTTTCAACTTATATTGACGGCGAGATGAACGACAATGTCGATAAGTTTTTGTTTCATTAAAACTTTATTGAAAAATACAAACTAGCGGAACATTAACGACTCAAAATAAAACAAATGTAAGAAAAACACACGTAACGTAGATTGTTACAGTAATTTTAACTTATAAAAGTTATAATTATAATAAAAAAAATACTATTAATATAGAATCACCAAAACTATGAAACTAATATTTAGACGAAAACTGTCGAATTCCAGAAGAGAAAACAAGGATTAACAGATCAACATTGTTATTAATTATTAATATACCGTGTAAGAAATGCAAATAAACTAAAATTAATTTGTTATTTCTAACAAAAAATATATAAAGATTGGCAATATTGCCGTCTATCATATGAAGAGAATTATATTTCATATCATCAATGCAACTATGGAATGATACTGTCGCTAAATAGTCCTTAATGACAAGGTTGAAGAAATGTCGCTTATATATTCGTCAATGGCAAGTTGAACCACATTGTCACTTATCTGGTTTTTAACGACAATACGCACACGAGAAAAGTGCCCTTTGTTCGAAAAAGTCGTCAGTGATTTGCTCCGGCTGTCGCCAACAAATCATTTATGATTTAACACTGTCCTGTACGCACTATCGTATACTGACGACTCTCCAAAAAGCCGACCTCACTGACCAACGCGCGGGTATTAATTATAAAATCATCGGTATTTGGAGATTGGCAATCATAATCCACAAATATTAATTAGTGCAAAATTTTCTCACTTGCTGTGCAAAATAAAAATAATTTCAGAAGCATTTTTGTTTTTATAAAACATACAATATATTTTCGACTCGGTTTTGTTCTCTTATTCATAATAAGAACGAACTATCTATTTTTTAATGTAATTTACACACAAAAATTTTGGTGTAAGTAATTAGCAACTCGTTTTCATTATGAAAAAAGTCCAAGTTTTTGGGCCTCTCTAATGTACATACATACATATACATACATCAATAACTAAAGCATAAACAAACGAATATATACAAATGTCCCTTAATAAATATCAAAGATGTTGGGCGTCGCCAATTAATAAAACACAATTTAAAAAGGATTAAAACAAACAATATGCATTAACAGCAATTCTGTCTAATTAATTACCTTGAGTTTGTTCAGTTTTGCTTTCACATTCTGCAATAAATACACTTAAATATATGGCATTTATTGACGCAAAAATAAATAAAATCTGGCGTAAACAAATACAGAATGACATATTTAGCAACTATATTTCAAAACTGGCTTTAAATGCACTTTAAACCAAAATGTTTGTTTTATACTTAAGTACTAATTTTAGAAATATATATTATTAGAGCCACATAACATTAATTAATGAAAATAAACAATTCTTTGCGATTTAAAGCCCAAAAATACCGAATACACTATACTATTTTTCAACAATACTTTAAACAATACTAAAAATATCACCCGTGAATTAAAAAAGGAGCAAAATACAACTTCTATACTAGTTTGTGGTGAGCATGAATATAGTATATTTAAAATGGGGTGATAAGTGCTACCAAGGCACATTTACACATGTACAGTGGGGAACAAAAAATGAGTCCATTTACATCGTACACTTTTTATTATATTAGTTGTGTTTTGTTGCTAACGTTCAAAGACAATTTCATATAAATTTAAAATTTATAATCGTTAGGAGTTAACGTGTCAAATTATACAAGTTAATTTTAACGTCGATAATAGTGCTACCAATTCAAAAATAAAAATACATATATTAATTATGTCAAACAATAAAAAATATTTTAAAATAAAATTTAAATCAAAGAAAATTACTAAATAAAAAAACCTTTTTAAGAAATTGTAAATAATTTCAAGATTTAGCAGATTTCTTCTTTGGAATGATGCCAAGTCAGGTAATGTTCGTTTTGTTGCTAACTTTAAAGCGACACGGCCACACATAAAATTTGTTTGACTCAAACGATAAGTTTTTTGATTGTGTTAGTGAAAAAATTCACATGTACCCTGCAAACAATTGCTATCTAAATAGTATCCATAACGTAACAACTTGTAGGTAAAAATATCTAAAAAACATCTAAAATTGCACAATTTGAAAGGAAGAAAAGTGACCGCGTTGGTAAGAAACTGTTCCTCCTGTTTAATACTTACTTAGTGAGTCGATTTCGTTTCAGTTTTAAGTCACTTTTTTATAGCATAAAAGTGCGTAAAATTAGTAAAATTTCCAGTTTTGCTATAGCAAAAGGGAAACTGGAAATTTATCTAATTTTACACTATTCTATGTAGTAAAAGCGACTTTATAATACATTTTCTTTATTTATGTTACCTTATGAATAATTTAAAATTGTTTATACTCACTAATCTCTCACTTATGTTTATTATATATTACATTTATTTTTTATATATTTAATTTTAAATAAAATCATTACAAAATTTCACAATGTGTTACTATTCACACAACTGATCACCATAAACTTAATATATTTACTGAAATATGTAAAAACTTTTTCTTTTAAATTTTGAGAGCAAAAATAATTCTGCCTTAAATTATCTTGTTAGTGTATTAAAAAATGTTCTTTTATACCCCATTTACACATACACGAAATCTAGTACTTATGAGATTTCGAGCCAAATCTACTTGATTTTAACTAGATTTCCCATACAAAACAAAATCTACTTCGTAACTAGATTTCGTTAAAATCTACTCAAAATCTAATAGTTTTTAGTGATGCAACTCTGTTTTTTCCTAAATAATACTAAAAAATACGACACTACACAAGAAAAAAGATGAAAACAAAACAAACAAAAAAAATTAAAATGTCGACAAAATTTTTATAAATTGAAAAACATGAATGAAAAGTTATACCCCATTTACACATACACGAAATCTAGTAGATTTCATTTAAAATCTTTTTCCAAATCAAGTCCGTTTACACTTACTATTCTTGACATTTAAGAAGATTTCATTTTTTCTAATATTTCTTGAAAAAGGTGTGTGATATGAAAAATAAGAAGGAAACATGGGATATTTATCAAAATTCCATTTAAAATAAAAAATAGATATTTAAATATAACATTACCTTTTATTTTAGATTAACTTTTCATTCATGTTTTACATTGAAAATTTTTTAAATTTTATTGATATTTTATGCATTTAACAGAATTTAAAATACCCGTTAATAAAACAACCTTTTGATAAAACAGCAAACCCTAACAGCTGTTTTTGATTGTTGTGTGGTGAGTTTCTGTAAAAACGTAAACAAATGAAACAAAAACAAATTACTAGACATATTTATTTTGTGCTAAGAAAAATTTATGTATTTTAATAATGTTTTATAGCCAGTGCAAGTGTTCTTGGTGTACACCATCTACCCCAATAATAATCCCGGTTTCATTAGAATCAAGTATCTATGTATATTCCATGACTGGTTGAAAGAGTCACGGAATCCATCGGAGATCAACCTAAAAAATGAAAAAGGGGTGGCTTTAACTTCTTGTTCCGTTCATATGGGACAAGATTCGAGCCTCATCGTATCAGTTCGCCAGATACCTCATTTGTGTATATTGCAGGGTCCTGGTACCCAACACAGCCTTATTGTAAACGGTCTCATAATAATACTTAGATCTTTTCTTCATTCTACGACTATGCAAGAATACAGCTATGACATATTAATGCTTTAAGTGCAGCATGACTATCAACCTAAAATCTTACCAGAGACCGGCGAACAATGTGATTCCCTATTAGTTCCGTCACTTTCAAGATCGCTAAATCACCACTTGGAAGACACAACCCATCAGGGAGTCAAGGAACATTTTACACCGTTTGTAACACATTGAAATATTGGTCTAATATCCATAAAAGTATATGCTGGGATCTTATTACATTCTAAGATAAAGTTTGTTATTGAAAATGGACAATATCGGTATACGATAAACTCATCAGGGAGCCAAGGAACTTTTACACCGAAATATTGGTCTAAAATCCATAAAAGTATAGACTAGGATCTTAGCCAATATTTGCCAAAATATTTTTAGTTGATGGAGTTTATTATTGAGCTTCAATATTCCAGTATAGCGAAGAAGAACGACAAAAACAAGTTTTATAGGAACTAAAATCTTTTTGCCAAATTTTATGAGGATCAGGAAATTATTTTACAAGATTTATATGATCCAAAACCTTTCTGGGTTGGTTCAAAATTGACCCTACCCCCATATAAGTTCCCCTTCAGAAAAAGATATTAACTCCAATAATTGTAATAAAAATACCAATATAGCAAAGAAATTCCACATAAACAAGGAGTCAACATAGTTTTGTCAAATTTAAGGGGATCGGTCCATAATTTAACCTATCCCCGATATAAGGTCCACCTCGGGAAATTACTACCACTCATAACTGGCTTAAAAAAATAGCTATAAAATTCGACAACAACTTTTATATACGATAAACTCATCAGGGAGCCAAGGAACTTTTACACCGAAATATTGGTCTAAAATCCATAAAAGTATAGACTAGGATCTTAGCCAATATTTGCCAAAATATTTTTAGTTGATGGAGTTTATTATTGAGCTTCAATATTCCAGTATAGCGAAGAAGAACGACAAAAACAAGTTTTATAGGAACTAAAATCTTTTTGCCAAATTTTATGAGGATCAGGAAATTATTTTACAAGATTTATATGATCCAAAACCTTTCTGGGTTGGTTCAAAATTGACCCTACCCCCATATAAGTTCCCCTTCAGAAAAAGATATTAACTCCAATAATTGTAATAAAAATACCAATATAGCAAAGAAATTCCACATAAACAAGGAGTCAACATAGTTTTGTCAAATTTAAGGGGATCGGTCCATAATTTAACCTATCCCCGATATAAGGTCCACCTCGGGAAATTACTACCACTCATAACTGGCTTAAAAAAATAGCTATAAAATTCGACAACAACTTTTATATGAAACAAAATTTATCTGTTGAATTTTGTAAGGGTCGGTCCACAGTTGACCCTACCTAAAATCTCAAACAGATTATGCCATCCGATTTCTACACTTCCAACTTAAAGTTCTATATATGTTTTTATCGTGCACAAGATCATCCGATAGCAGTTATATATAATTTTCTATATACGGATATAGTCACATTTTTTGTAAAAAAAGTTTGTTGCTGTAGTACACACCCTAGAACGATGAAATCCACAAAACAAATTATGCCATCCGATTTGTATATTTCCAACTTAAAGTTCTATATAGGATTTTATCGTGCACAAGATCGTCCGATAGCATTTATATATAATTTTCTATATACTTCCATAATAAAATTTTTTGTAAAAAAAAGTTTGTTGTTGTAGTACACACCCTAGCACGATGAAATCAGGAAAAAAATATATGCCATCCGATTTCTACACTTCCAACTTAAAGCTATATATAATTTTCTATATATTTCCATAATAAAACTATGTAAAAAAAAGTTTGTTGTTGTAGTACACATCCTAGAACGATGAAATCCGGAAAAAAATGTATGCCATCCGATTTCTACACTTCCAACTTAAAGTTCTATATAGGTTTTTATCGTGCACAAGATCGTCCGATAGCAGTTATATATCATTTTATATATACTTCCATAATAACAATTTTTGTAAAAAAAAAGTTTGTTGTTGTAGTACACACCCTAGAACGATGAAATCCGAAAAAAATGTATGCCATCCGATTTCCACACTTCCAACTTAAAGTTCTATATAGGTTTTTATCGTGCACAAGATCGTCCGATAGCAGTTATATATCATTTTGTATATACGGCCATATTAACATTTTTTGTAAAAAAAAAGTTTGTTGTTGCAGTACACACCCTAGAACGATGAAATCAGCAAAAAATGTTTTTCATTTGATTTCTACACTTCCAACTTAAAGTTCTATGTAGGCTTTTATCGTGCACAAGATCGTCCGATAGCAGATATATATCAATTTATATATACTTCCATAATAACATTTTTTGTAAAAAAAAAAGTTTGTTGTTGTAGTACACTCCCTAGAACGATGAAATCCGGAAAAAATGTATGTCATCCGATTTCTACACTTCCAACTTAAAGTTCTATATAGGTTTTTATCGTGCACAAGATCGTCCGATAGCACTTATATATCATTTTATATATACGGCTATAGTAACATTTTTTGTAAAAAAAAAGTTTGTTGTTGTAGTACACACCCTAGAACGATGAAATCCGGAAAAAAATGTATGCCATCCGATTTCTACACTTCCAACTTAAAGTTCTATATAGGTTTTTATCGTGCACAAGATCGTCCGATAGCACTTATATATCATTTTATATATACGGCTATAGTAACATTTTTTGTAAAAAAAAAGTTTGTTGTTGTAGTACACACCCTAGGACGATGAAATCCGGAAAAAAATGTATGCCATCCGATTTCTATACTTCCAACTTAA